CCCCCTCTAACGCAATATCAACCGATACTTTCAAAAATCCAGCAGAGAGCGGTTTATGGTGAAGTAGGTCTCCCAAAGTGTTATGCACTTTTCCCTTGCCAACCATGTGATAAGTCGGTGACGATAAATATAGCTGACAAGGTGAAATGCCCTAAACAAATAATGAATATGATTAATGTGTCAATTAAGAAAATTGTGCTATATTAGTTTCAATGTAATATATACAATTGCCTCTGGAAGCTTATGTGGACAATTGATATTATTTTTATCGCTAGTATCTTTACACTTTGGACCGCGCCTTTCTGACATGTATCTCTCTTTGTCCTTCTGTAATTCACGAATCTAAGTTTTCAATTCCTCCAACGTCTCCATCACTTCTTTGTTTCTAGGATTTTTATTCTTTGGCTGCTTATACAGTTTTGATGGAGTGACACCAAATCCCTTACCCCTCACACGCCCAAAATACTCAAGAATATTTAACACCCGACTCAGTAAGCTCCTGCAATCATCATTCTCAACTGCAGTTATAGTCTGGGATAGAGTATCTTGAAATATAGATAAAAGCATATATAAATATATTATACACTTTTGAGTTACTGACAAAACTAATGTTGTACTTACACATTGTTCAAATACTTGTTGAACTTCTTCTTGAACGACTTCATCTCTTCCCACACGGGCAGCCTTCCACACAACATGGTCCGAAATAGATGTTGCATCACTTTTCTCCTCTTCTAACTACACATTAAGATGGATAATAAAGCATGCATACCCCATTATATATACTTACTATTTTTTGTAACTATATAATATTAAAGCAGTTATATATACTTACTATTTTTTGTTGTAAGTGTGCATATCCCAAATGCCCTTTTTTGTATGGATATGCGGGTTTTGATGTCCGTTTCCGATTTACGTCACTCACAACCTGAAAAAACAAGTTTAAGTCATATCAGAACTCCTGTGGAAGAAGTATATATATTATACATTGTTCATGATAAGTTGTACTTACGCAAAATTCTTTGGTTCTTCGCTTGGCAACAAATGTCTTCCATTCTTCATCTGAAATCAGATCAGCGTACTTCTTTAAACGCTCTGATTCGACAAAGTTTTCATCAGAATCTTTAAGAAACGTGTTCGTTAAAAACGCTCTAAATCCTCTCATTCATTTTCCGGCCAATTGAAGACAATATTTTCTCCTGCAATCATCAATATTAAAAGATCTCTGCAAACAAATAAACATACATATAACATTTTAGTATAATTAATTTAAAGATGTAACCGTCGATATAATTAAAAAATATCAAATATCATACCTATATCTCGCTCCAAATTTTGTATTTAGCAGGTTGCAACGAAGGAATTCTCTAATTATTACAAGTAATTGGAATTTACGAACGAACAAGTGCTCCAATGTAACTTGTCAGCATCGCACTGTTAGGCTCAATTAATTTATCTCTTTCATTCTAATGCACATCATATTTTACACCTTTATCTCTCGCACGGATGATTTTTTTCATAATCGTTATTCCTCTTTTAATATCGCCTTCCACGTCTTTTGTTGTTTCGTTTCCATCATGTGAATTTTCCTCGTTGGTGGCCATAATACCTGTAATTCAGAAAATCCAAATTATCAAATGAATGACAAATAAATATGTACATAATTAATAAAATCATCAACATTAAATAATTCTTGGAACATCGATTGTTGATAAAACTTGCAATAATGTAACAACTTCTTATATAGTTGATAATTTCTTTTAATAAAGCCTTATAATATTAAAAGAAAAAGGTGGAATAACTAAGGAACTATAAAATGAGGAACAAAATAAAATACCATAAAAAACGAGAAAACTTAAAGAAAGTTATACCTAACATATTTTTTACAAATTAAAATTCTCTTTAATTCTAATAGGGATAGAAACAAAAGTAATTAAAAAATCTACACTGCTACTTATATTAGCAAAAAAAATCAACGCAAGAATTCTCTTCTCTAACTATGTGTGTGAAAGTAATATTTGTAAAGTTAGTGTGGCTAGTACTCTCCAACCATCTATTCTAAAGACCAAAATGTCTTAAATTTAACAAGCAAGTTTCGTTGACTGTCTAGTTATCCTAACAACATCACAACACCAAGTGAGATTCAAAGTCAAATTCACATCTCAACAAATTAACATAAACTAAACTCTTAACATAACTAACTTTAGTTCAAGCTACAAAACTAACCAATAGTTCTAACTAATCCTTAACACTAACTCTCTAACGACTAACCTTCAATCTCTCACTATCATAATTCCATCTAACTATTACTAATAGAAAGATTAAATCAGTTTCAATCAGTTTCAATCCAAAGTTTAAATCTATTAGTTCAGAAAAATGAAAAATCAAGAGAATAATCGAGAAAAATGAAAAATGAAAAACTTCAAATACCGTAAAAATGGTGGAAATGCGCTGACAGTGGAGGTGGAGGACGGAGATGAACGGAGGACGGCGACAGACGGGGGCTGTCGGACGGAGGCAATGGACGGAATGCGTCGACGGTGAATAGGGCAACGTTCGCGAGAGGGAAAGAAGGAAAGAAGGATACACGACTGTTCTGTTTGTGGAAAAATTTTGGTGGGTATTTTTAAATTTTTTCTACTTAAACCTATAGCAGCGCTTTTGCATGGCCTTTAGCAGCGCTTTTGAAAAGCGCTCTCTAAGGTCTGCCTTAGGCAGAACCTATAACAGCGCTTTTTAAAAGCGCTTTCTTTTGTACCCCCTTATAGCAGCGCTTTAGTAAAAAGCGCTTTCTTATACCCCCCCCCCTTTAGCAGCGCTTTTAGAAAGCGCTCTCGTAGGTTACACCTATAGCAGCGCTTTAGAAAAGCGCTTTCTTAGGGCATACTTTTAGCAGCGCTTTCTTAGGGCCTACTTTTAGCAGCATTTTTCTTAAAGCGCTGTCTAAGGTATGCTACTTTTTTTTCTTTTTTTCATGACTCTTTAGCAACGCTTTTTCATAAAGCGTTGTCTTTTTATGCGCTGCCAAAAGTCATTTTTGTAGTAGTGTAACCAATCATGATAAATCTTGCAACCTAGATAGGTATATGACATCATGAAATCGTTGCCCCTCAAGCTGTCGTAACTTCACAATTTTCTACCATGGTTGATGCATTTTATAGCATCACGATACTGCAAAAAAAACATCATCATTAAAAAGTTCAAATATTATAACACGTGTATTTCAAAGAATAAATACATATACATTTTACCTCTCCATCTTACATGTGGCTAGCGGTATGGTTTGCATAAAAAGTCAGTAGTGAAGTGTCATATGGACCTCCTCTAAAAAAACTCAAGAACATCGATAGCATGTGCATTAACATGGGCTAGTGGGCTTCTAGGGCGGTAACCGGTGACACTTGCCTCCAAGAACACGAAGTCGGAGACACCTGGACTTCAAAAGTGGATGATCATGCATCAAAGAAACTGACACCAATTGGTGGTCACGAGGGTCTAATCCTCTCCCTAGAAACATATGCATGCTGACACACTTTTGTGCCTCAATCCATATGGATTGTCAACCATTTTACCTATAATTAAACTAGACAAAGCAGACAAAATCAAACCTAAATGAAAGACATTCAAAATCAAATAATGCAGATAAAATACGGAAATACACTTCCGTATTTTTGAAATATCAAATTTAGACAAAATACAGAAGTGCACTTTCGTATTGCTAGAAAATCAAATTAAAACAAAATATGAAACCGCACTGCCGTATTTTCTTGAAATGCATAAATAGTAGAAAATGCATAAATGTATCATGCCTATGCTCTAAATATCAATGCACGTCTCAATAAATTACCTAATAATGAGTGTAACTACAATCTAATGTAACTTAAACAACCTATTGAGTAGCATACATCACAAATATTTAAAATAAAAAAAATAATAAAAAAAAGAAATGAAAAAAAAATATCTCTAAAACACCATGGTATAAGCCCAAATTAAATTCCATCACACTATACATAACATTAAAAATAAAATAAAATAAAATAAAAAACCTCCAGCTCGAAGCAACATAACCCTAAAATTTTGTATAAAAAACATTTACCATGTAGAAAAAATTAAATAAATAAAATCTAATTTTTATCTATGTTAAAATTGAACTTTATGATGTATAAAAAAATGTTTTTTTTTATCTACCTAATATGAGCTTTATAAAAACTAAAATATTTTTTTTATCTAGTATTCTAATGGCTAAAATTTTAGTTTTTAAAAACAAATAAATTAATGCTGCAGGATCAAACTCACCTCTAACAATGATATTTAGTTCCTGCAATCGAATCAACAAATTAAAAATACATTCATCAATGCAACTCCTCTATTTGACCACTAATTGTCAAATAGGAGTTCCTACAATTGGATGAATAATATTAAAAATTCCTCTATCTCCTCAATTTTATTAAATAAATCTATGTTTGTATGAACAATATCAAATCATAAATTTAAAATTTTATAATTCTTGTTGTTTTGAAAGATAAAATGTTTTAACAGTAACAAAAATTTAACAATTTAGAATTCTTAATTTTTCAATATTTTAAAAAAGAATGAAAAAGAATATTGAACCATAGTGGAGAAGATTGATAAACAACATCAAAACATAAATTTAAGAATTTAGAATTCTTGATGGTTAAAATATTAGAGAAAAATTCTGTAAAACTTTTACACTGATAACAACTAAAATAAAATATTAATAGAATCAAAGACATATTTGAGAACACCTTGCTAATACAAGGACCAAATTGATAATTTATTTGAGTGCTGCATACAATATGAACAGACCGTACAAGTAGAAGATTTTATGATATTTTGTCACAGAATAAATATCATCACTATAAAACTAGAGAGAATTCATAGAATCGCCTGCAAGGTACATACATGATACAGGACAACAACATTATCGCTCTAACACAATGGTTGAAGCTGCTAGCAAGCTATGGAGTTATATACATGGTTTATCTTAAATGGTCACCATGAAATGAGAAAGGATCGGCATGGGGAAATCCAACTGTTCTACTTGAATAAGGTTTTGAAAGTTCACCACCAAATGGCATCTGCGGCGATTTCGGCGATGTAATATGATAGGATGGATTGATGGGAAGTGAGGGATACATGGGTTGGCTAGAATTGGGCGGGCCACCTCCATTCGACGATTTCGGCAATGTAATGTGATGGGACGGATTGATTGGAAATGAGGGATACATGGGTTGGCTAGAATAAGGTGGGCCTCCTCCATTCGAAAAAGGATCAGAAGGGGACTTTTTAGAATCAGATATCGGCCCATTTTCCAAGTATCGGGTCGCATGAGATTGATCAACTGCAGATAAGCTCCTTGCTGCACCGTGATAGGGATTGGTGATAAATTGACCATCAGAAATTCTAGACATGCCTCTATTATAATGATAAAGGTTTGAACCAAATCCACCAGTTGCTTCTTTGGAAAAATCTGTTGGTAGTCTGAAGAGACCAGAAAATCCAACAGGAATTTCAAATCTACCCTCACTTTTACCAACAAAAGTAGATGGTTTAATGGCTTTACTACTCTCTACCAGAGGCAACCTATTAAGCTCCTGTTGTAAGGATGTCCTAGCTTGCTTAAGTGATTCAAGTACCCCATTGAACTCATGAGATTGTTTGTGAAAAACTAATGCATAGAGGTCATTTTTGTTTCTGGAAGCATCATCCTTTTGGTGCAAACCACCCTGAATAACATTCGGAAAAGATGGCTTGGAACCAGGGTGACCACGGCCGCGTGGATCGTGATTGTTTGTCTCAGAAGACTGATGATTATGATTTATTGAGCTCTCGCTTCGGTTTCCACTAAGTGGTGAATGTGACCTTTCTTGACCAAGTAAACTGGAGGTTCGGAGAGTTGCGCTATTCTGTTTGTTGTAACCTCTTGTGTCATCATGTGATTTCGGCATAACATCTCTGGCCTCAAATTTGAATACTTCAGATGAGTTGAGACCTCTGGACTCTGATTTATACTCTTGAGCATTTGGTGCGACCACTTTAGAAGAGTATGGAATTTGATCCTTGCTTTCCTCTTTATCTTCAGTCATATCCGAGTGATTCCCCGGATCATATGAATCCTGGAAAATTTATGACACAAATCAATGTTGAGACTAAGGTAATTTTAAATGGAAAAGGAGTGCAGTAGAGAACCAACTTTAAATAATAAAACCAAGCCAAAACTCCACCAAGGGTCTTTTAACTTAACTTAAGTTTCAAACAGGTCCTTTTTCTATTTTTCGTGTCAAGTTAATCATTTATGTATTAAAAGTCCACAGAAAGTTGGACCAAACTGAAACAGTAAAATTTAAGATCATAGGAAAACCCTTGCATTATGTCAGTCTGTATAATGAAAAGCGCAACTTTTTGAAAGTTAACATCAAACAATATGAAGCCTAAAATTCACATTTCAACATTCCTACTAATGGCGTACGTGAAACAACCAAACACCAATAGGTGTTAAGAAAATGCACTTAGAATATGGTAAGTCCAGGAGAAGCATACCAATGTTGTGCTGTTTTTCTCTCTAAATTTATCTTCCCACTCTCTCTGAGTCTTCTCCATTGCTTCAAACTGGTCAATAAGTTGGGCTTGGTGTTCAAGTGCCTTTTCCATGTTCTCTTCTCTTCCATATTCATCTACGTGATGATTTTTGTTCACTTGGTTCACCTCTGATTCATCCTCTTCGGGAATTTTAGATTCTATTCTCGGGATGTTAGACCCAGCAATTGAAATCTTTGGATATCCTTCAGAAGAGGAAACAAATGCATTTTCGTGGCAGTTATCATTGACAGATTTATCTTTGGATTCCTCCATCGCTAACCTGAGAAAACTCAAACCATATATATTTAACTTTATAAGCAATCATGAAGATAAGTGATTAAAGAGAACAATAAATAAATAAGGAAAATGCTAACTTGTGCACATGTTAAAGATCTCAATCAAAATATTCTCTTAAAAGTCGTGCATTCAATTGTTCAAAAGTTTAAACATTGTTATGTTCACTACAAATTTTCTACTTTTAATTTCCTTAACATGTGCCCTTAAGACACAAGTTAGCGAGATTCAATAAATGAATAAATGTAAATTACACTCGGCGGTTATGCATATCTTGGATAGCAGAAAGGACCCGATTATAAAAAATTTAACAGACTCCATTACAAGCTTAATTCTTATTAATATTTATCCAGCTTCACAGTTTTCAGCGAACCAATGGTTTTCTGAAAGGTTCACTTCCCTAAAGGAATAAATGAAACAGAGTCATCAACATATATACCAAAAAAATTGTCAAAGAACTACCAAAATAAATATGCTCAATCAACAGAGGTTGCTGTGTATGAGAGGTTTCCGCAAACCTCTTTTTCAGTCAGATTTTATTGTTTAGCAATAAAAAAGGGTTTAACTATGATGCTCTGGAGACCCTAAACCTAATCGCCTTTAAAACTGAAAACCTCTTAACATTACAACTGAAAAAATGTAGACTAATGATAAGCGTATGAACAGATGTCCTCCTCCATTCTACAAAAGAATGTGCTATATGACATATGATATTGTATGGGACAAAATGTTGCCATTAGGAACCGTCCGTAACAAGTCAAACGAAAATAACCTATTGTAAGCTTAGCAACTATTCAAAGTGGAGTTAAAACATGTTAGCATTATGTCTGGATTCACAGGTCAATGAATGAGGTCGTACACCAAATGCACATAATAAACAAGAGGAAAAAATGTTTAGACACGCACCTGTTTAGTCTATGTCTTATCTTGCGACATGACTTTCCATGGTGGTGCTTTGGAGAAGAACTGGCAGATGAAAAACTGTTTTGCCTTCTCATATTAGAATTCTTGTATTTTTCAAGAGATCGGGGAGAATCGTGACGTCCTTTCCAAGACAAACTTCTATTGAATACTGGCGAAGAATTCATACGAGAACCATACATTTCATCTGACCTATGTTGTCTCCCTTTTGAGCTTGTATATCTCTCACCCTCTTTTGAAGAATCATTACTAACACCAGATTCACAAGGAATGTCAATGTCTGAGCCTGAGTCTGATTCTTCCGATACATCACTTATCCCTTGATCCTCTAAAATGGCAAGAACATCTGCAGTGGCCTTCTCAGCCATCTTCCGTTGAAGAGTCACCGTCCTAAGTTGTTCCTCCAATTCCACGACCTAATCATTTTTTTGGAAAAATTGAAGTTATAAAAGATATTAAAAACGATCACAAAATTTAGACTTCATGAACTAGCAAAAATAAACTTAACATACCTTTTTTTCCAATTCATCAGTTCTTTGTCTAGCACTTCTTGAGATGGACCTTTCAGAAAGCAACCTCGCTCGCAGGAATTCAATAGTCATTGCATTGGAATCCTCCATGGAGGAAGTAATCCTAAAGGGCACGTATCTAATTAATATAGCTCAACTGAAGATCTACTATAGATGGAAAAATGAACAAATACAATACTGATACTAATCTACTAACAGACAAATCTCAAACAACTACCACTCAATTATCAATTTACTTAGAGAAAATAAGGATAGACGAAGGACCTACACAGTGACATCATTATCTTCCTTTTTTTTACTCTCACATAGTCCTAGAATGTGAACCATGTGTGACATCATTATCTTCCTTTTTTTACTCTCACAAAGTCCTAGAATGTGAACCATGTGTGTAATGTGTCCCCTATCCAGTAAATTGGTATCAAAACTTGAATTACAAAACAACAACAATCAAGCCTTAACCCACTAAGTGGGATCGGCTACATGGATCAACTTTCTCCATAATGTTCTATCCAGTACCATATTTCTATCCAAATCCTTAATCTCAGGGTCTTTCTTAATAACTTCTCTTATAGTTTTTCTAGATCTTCCTCTACCTCTAGTTGTTTGACTTCTCCCCATCCGATCAACTCTCCTTATCAAAGAATCTACAGGTCTTCTCTCTCCATTCTCAAACTACCTAAGTCTATTTTCCACCATCGCTAACTTGGAGAATTTGAGAAAAGGCAGTATTGTCAATGGAAAAATAGAAGTTTGTTCAAATTCTGTTACGATGTATAGCCTCACTAGGTACCAAACAGCATATCCCACAATAATAACGCTTTCTTCAAATATCGCTATGCTATTGACAACACTAAGCAACAAACAGCATATACCACAATGATAACAATTTGTTCAAATTCCACTACGCTATTTGACAACACTAGGCAACAAACAACATATCCCACAATAATAACAATTTGTTCAAATTCCGGTACACTTTTTGACAGCACTGGTAAAAGATAATGCGGAATTTCCACCTATCTATCAAAAACATATTGAGCCAGTGGTAGAAGCAACCGAAGTGAAACCCTACTAACTACTAAATCAATTGATTCTCACTACAAAAGTAAATAAATAAACCATACTTCATCCCTTATTCCATCAACAATTATGGCAAATCAAGCACGGAACAAAAGCATAAAAATCAGAAATTGAATACAGGTGAGTGAAATTACCTCTGATCTTTCGGATCGAGCACGGGGTTTTGCATGATCATGAAGAAAGTTTCAGCTCCAGATTGATAGAAATCAGCAAAACCGCGAAATCGAGAGTGGGAAAAGGTTAGAGTGTGATTTGAGTGGAAAGAGAGAAAGGGGTTGTTGGGTCATCTGCGAACGGACGAACAGAGGAAGATTCTTTCTTTCGGACACCATTTAACCCAACGGACCCACCTTCTTCATTAATTTCACATTTCTCTCTTTTTTTCTTTATTTTATTTTATATTACTTTCATCAACGTCATTATCTAATCCATTAAATCGATTAATCTAATTTGGACTCAATTTTAGAATCACCGTTAAATCAACTAAGATTACTATCATCTTTATTATTTTGTTGTTGTTACTTTGTATGTATTAATTTATTTATTTGTTATTTATGGTTTTTAGTCAAATCTGATATTCAAAAAAAGTAAAATACATGGTAAAAAAAAATTAGGATAGGTTATCATATATGGTGTCTTTGATTCGATGTTTGAACAGACAATGAAGTACAATATAAAGTAATGATAATTTTTTATATTTTGTCTTTTGAATTAAATTTTGTTCTAGAAAAGAAAGATTTTATTGTGACTATAAAATGGATTTCAAATCAACAAAACAAGATATAAAAGACTTATATAATATGTATACTTTTATTATCTCATTAGAATAAAAATATAAAATTGATTTAATTTAGAATACAAAATTTAAATTATAAAAATATTAATTTTAATTTATCTTGTTCACGAAATTAATCTCTTTATTTTGTTTTTAAATAATTTTAATTTTTATCCTTAATTCTAGTATACAGCTAAAGTGATTTTTTTAGTGACAAATATTTGATGACGTGTAATGACATAGATGAGTTTTTAATTTGTCATATCATTTTTTAATTAAACTAGAACAAATTATTTAAACAATAAAAATAAAAAATACAACATTTATGGTGTTCTTCATTGACTTCTACTTTTGCCCTAAGTTCTTTCATCGTCTTCCTTGTCAAACCATTTATATTTATTTAACTCATTTGTATCCCTTTTGAGTGGCATATCAGTCATTACAAATATCTAACAATCTCTCTCATTTTAGAATGAGAAGGATGCATTGTTATTGTGGGTTGAATTCATCACTTGTGACTACACAGACACCTCAGAACTCTAAAAGGAGGTTTTACGAATGTGGGTTGTATAAGGTAGATATCAATATTTAATTTTTTATTTAGTGTATTCATCTTTTCAGTCTCTAATTTATGGGTAATCTATCATTTCCAAATATTTATTATGGATTTTGTACTGGTCAAAACGTACAGTGTGTGCGTGTGTGTTTTCCTTTTGCAAGGGTATGGAGACTCAGAGGTCTTAGTAGGTATATTACAATTTGGATAGTGAGGGCTTACTCACGGTGGCAAGAAGTCTTGTGCAGTGATTTTTGAGATCATTTAAAGGACTGGCTCACGTGAGGTGAGAGGCCCCTGTTGGTGGTCAACGTTGTTGGGTTGCAAGCAAACGGTTAGGTTGATGGTGTGTTACAACTACTGGGAGCGTAGTTCTATTTGAGCAGTGGATAATGTGTATGACTTGAGCTCATATATCCCCTTGAGGGATATGATATTTATATGAGTTCCCGCTACTTAGGGTTTTTATCTCCTATATATGGTCTTAAGAGCTCACCTAATACTAGGGGAGGTTATTGATCGCCTATTTTCTCAGAGTCAATGGACACTTTCTCTTGCTTGACTCCCACGTTGGTGGGACCTCTTGGGTAATTCCCTTAGATTCCGTTTTGGACGGCCCAATTGTTGGGTGAGGGCACCCTAGTATAGGGTTTTACCAAATATAACATTACACAGTCCCTCAAGCACAATTACTTTTCTCTAAAGGGAAAATTGTTTAAAACCACTTTCCTTTTTAGAGTGCACCCCTCGCTTTATTGAAGATTCCCTTAACTGAAAATGGTTTTGTTGGCGAGTCCCTCAATGAAGGGTGGGTAAAATAATAGGTGAGTCCCTCAGCCGAAACGTATGGGCTCGTGGGTGCCTGCGTGGCATGGGAAATTAACAAACTTAGGAAAACATGTTTGTTTTGAGGTGACGTTGCCAGACGTCCAAACGTAAATTATTTTTGCTTGAATGAGCATTCAAGGGAAAGAAATGTGGGTAACATTTAATGCACCTCATGTTGGTATTTCTCAGGAAGGCAAATTAGTTTTCTGTATTCACACGTGACATCTAGGCATTGAGACTTTCTCGCTTATGGCGCCAACCTATTGGGTGAATATGTGAGCCCATTTCTTGGCTTTTTATGTATTTTCAAAAGCATTGCTTCGCTTATTCTTCCTTATTTTCAAAAAAAAATGTTTTGTATCATACACCATTTTCTTTAACTTTTAATTTCATCGACCATGGTGAGGAAAACTACGTTCATCCACGTGCGAGACATAACCTTTTTATATTCTACTGTGGACATGATCGACAAGTTCTAACATGGCATCAATTTTTCCAGCATGGGACGACAGATAGACGTGTTCATGGAGCATTTCTCTAAGGATGAGAGAGCATACATGGACACTTTTGGTGATCCATCTGCCTTTTAACTTTACCTTCACCTCCCAATTATCTATGATTTTTTCCCTTTACGGTAAAAGTGTGTAAATCTTCTAGATCATGTACTTCTATCACTCCATCTGGAAACACTTTGTTAACAATAAACGAACCTAAACATCTAGATTTCCATTTACCAAGGAACATTTTCAGTCGAGGTTTGTACAACAAAGTCTTCTGCCCTGTCTTATAACACCAAAGGTTTTCTTTCTTGTGCTTCATTGCTTCAAACACGTTGAAGATAACTTTTTCCTTATTAAATATTAATATTAACTCTCCTAGTTCCACATCGATGAGAGCTCTACCCGTTGTCAAAAATGATATTCCTATAATGAGTGGTGTGTCAGAGTCTTCTAGCATGTCCGTAATCACAAAGTATGCAGGAAACAATAAGTCATTGACTCTAACAAGAACATTTTCAAGAACTTCATATGGTAAGTCATGACACAATCAACTAAGGTCAAGATCATCTGAGTTGGTTTTGGCTCACTGTAATTCAACTTTTTCATCATAGATAACGACATCAGATTCATGCTAGCTCCTAAATCACACGATGCATGACCAATAGTTAGTGAACCAATGACCAACAGATAAACCATGTCAAATCCCTTATTTATGTCGGTTCTATGAAACACCAAAGACACATTTACAATGCACATTATTTGGGTTTTACTGTTGGTATGGATCCTTTCGTATACACAAGATTTCCAATTTTCAAAGGAAGCCCCAAGCCAATTCACTTTAAATTCATTACTGACGGGATTAGAGCCAAATTGGCTACTTAGAAACTAGTTTACTTTCAATAGTTGGAAGATTCCATATGGTGAAATCAATTATTCAAAGTAAAGTGTTTCACTGCCTTCTCATTTACTCGTAACTTATCTCTATCATGAAGAGTATTAAGAAGTGGGCAAGGAATTTCAGTGGCATCTCACCATGTCCCTTCAATTGTCCTACCCTTCCTCATTTTCTATTCTCAATCAAACTCATATTCCAATAGAGGATAAGGAGGATAAATGTATTTGGAATCTCTCTAAGGACGAATAGCTTACTCTCAAGAGGGCCTATGACTATAAAGATGAATCTTCCCAAGTGGTTCATTAGGGAAAAAATCATTTGGAATGTTCACATTCCACCTTTAAGATCGCTTATGTTTTGGAAATCTATCCAAAACAGATTGCTTACTGATGACCGTTTACCCACAAATGGTATGCATTCTCCCTCTATGTGCAACATCTGTTTGCAACACTCTAAGTCCTCTTATCATCTATTTTCAGGTGTCATTTAGCTGACAAATTTTGGAGGAACTTTGCCTCAATTTTCAATCAAAACGTTTTCTCAATGGAAGACATTTGGAATGTGTTGAACAAACATTGGTCTAACAAATGCAAAGTGGTTGTTATCTCGATTGTGATCAACACAATCAATAGTATTTGGCCAGCAAAAAACAATGCTCGGTTCAAGAGGATCAAAACTCACTGGAAATCAACAATCAACTCGATTAATTCGAATGTGTCTTTCCAAGGGAATTCAACTCCTAAACACATGTTCAAATTTTGTCTTGGACTTTAGGATCAATCTCCATGCTCTTAAGAATTGGGTTATTAGATAATTTCTATGATACCTTTCGGTTGTGAAATAGGTAAAGTGTAATGTCGACGAATATGTTGTTGGCGTTCATAGTACTGTAATTTGTAGTGGAACTTTCAGGGATCAAAACGACAATCATTTGAGTAGCTTCTATTTGAACCTTGGGTTGAAGAATTCTCTCTATTGAGAGCTTACAAGTGCTATTATTGTGATTGAAATTACAAAAGGGTAAACATTTTATGCATTTACGGCTGTAATCAGATTCGAAATTGGTAGTCTTAGCTTTTACAAAACCTTTAATTATTTCCTAGAAGTTAAGTAATAGGTGGGAAAATGCATTACATTACTTACACTAAGTCAATTTCTTTTTGCGTTCTTACACAAAGAGTTGTACAAATAAGACAAATAAATGGATTTCTAACTATATTCTCTTGTTTTATCTAGGTTTCTCAGATCATCGATCAATCAGAATGTGCAGATTCAAATGAAACCAAAGCAAAAGACTCAGATGAAACTGAAGTGAAAGTCAACATCATTGATGATGAAGAATAAGGAAGCGAGACACTGGTCGATCATCTGTTGAACACCACCACTGAAGATGATGATCAAGCGTCAATACCTCTAGGTCATGTATATTGTCTGCCTCAACATATGGCATACTTGGACTTGCATGACGATGAAAGATCCTCAAATATTTTTTACAACCTGTATATACAGTCAGAGGGTGAATTAAAAGTGGGAGACAAGTATCGTACTAAGGAAGAATGTGTACTAGCCATTCAAAAATATACTCTGTTGATTTTAGCGTACATTGAACCGATTTGATAAG